CATCCATCATCCATCCATGTATATATCATAATATATATCACATTAGTATATATTATAACGAGCACGAATGAAGAGAGAGAGAACGACCATGCCATTAGAGAGACGATAGAGAGAGAGAGAGCAGAGAGAGAGAGAGAGACGAGAGAGAAGCAGAGAGAGAGAGAGAGCAGCAGAGAAGAGCGAAGAGAAGAGACCGAAGAGAGAAGAGAGAGAGAGAGAGCCAGAATGAAGCGAGAGAGAGAGAGAAGGAGAGAGAGAGAGAGAGAACGAGAGACGATGAGAGAGGAGAGAGGCAGATGAGAGAGCACGCAATTGAGCAGCCAGACTTGATGAGAGAGAGAGAAGAGAGAAGAGACCATGAGAAAGAGCGAGAGAGAGTAGAGAGAGAGAGACAGAGAGAGAGAGAAGAGAGACCAGATTGAGAGAGAGAGAGAGAGAGAGAGAGAGAGAGAAAGAGAGATTACATAGAGAGAGAGAGAGGACCAGATGAAGAGAGAGGAGACCATAGAGAGAGACCGAAGAGAGAGAGAGAGAGAGAAGAGAGACCATTGAGAGAGGAGAGGAGAGATGAGAAAGAGAGCAGACCGGCATTAGGAGAGAGTCCATGGAAGAGAGAAGAGAGAGAAGAAGAGAAGGAGAGAGGAGCCAAGTAGAAGGGACGTAGGAGAGGAGAGAGAGAAAGAGAGAAGAGAGACCGAGTGAGAAAGAGAGAGAGAGAGAGAGAGACCATAGAGACCATGAGAGGAGCAGAAGAGAGAGAGATGACCGATAGAGAGAGAAGAGAGAGAGATGAGAGAAGAGAGTAGAGCAAGACGAGAGGAGAGAGAGAGAGAGACCATAAGAGAGAAGAGACGAGAGACGAGAGAGAGAGAGAGAAGAGAGACAGAATGAGCCATAGAGACGAGCGCCATAAGAGAGAGAGAGGAAGAGAGAGAGAGGAGACGCATGAGAGAAGAGACCGATCACCATCGCACAATAGAGAAGAGCCATGAGAGAGAGACTTTATGTTTAGATTGCCCATTGTACACGCCATCCCCCCACCGTCAATAAGTGGGGAGTGCATCCCCCACTCCCCCCCCCCCGCCCTCGTCTACGCCCCTGCTATACAGATATATATATATATATATATGATTATATATATATATACATATATTTTACTACTACAGGTCGAGAACGAGGCAATGGGACACAGCAAGACATTTTGCTATAACCAGGTGTTCCAACCTCTGGCGACACAGGAAGAGGTATTCCACAACTGCGGCATCACACACCTCATAGACATGGCCGTGAACGGGTGAGTGAACCACTTGTTATAGACATTGCAACGAATGGGGGAAATAGACCACTGGTCAACATGACATTGGATGGAGGGAGCAAACCAACTGATGTATCAGTAAAGAAAGGGAGGGAAACATTCATGTGAAATACGTGAGTTATGTTGCGTTGGCGCAAGCATGTTTTATGAATGCGTAACATATGCGTGGAGTGTATTTTTGGTGGTTTCTAGGTATTCTTGCACGACGTTTGCCTATGGCCAGACTGGCTCGGGAAAGACCCACACCATAACTGGACCGGTGAACAACGTAAGCGCATGCATATTATATCACACGTCACGCGTACAGTATACTATACCTTAGAGCGGCTTGTGATATATATATAGAGAGAGAAAGAGAGAAAGGGGGAGACAGGGAGAGAGGGACAGAGACACAGAGAGAAAGAGAGCGAGATAAAGAAAGAGGGAAAGGGTGAGAGGGAGGCAGCGAGAGAGGGGAGAGAGACAAAGGGAGAGAGAGAGATATCGCGCACGAGAGAGAGAGAGAGAGAGAGAGAGAGAGAGAGAGAGAGAGATATTATATATGGTGCAAGGAAATTACCTACGGTATTAATATTTTGTCACCAATAAACACAGAAGTGATCCTTTAACTGTAATATGTTTTAGAATCGAGAGGGACCAGAATTTGAAGCTAACTGGGGGCTCATACAACGTTCCTTCCTCTACCTATTCGATCGGCTAGAGACGCGACCTGGGATCACTTACGTCATCAATGCCTCCTACCTGGAAATCTATAACGAACAGGTGATGTCGGTTATTGTCATAGCTGTAATCTTTTAGCCGTTTATTTATTTTTTATCTTTATTATCTATCGCGAACTACACGACTTTCTAAGATGTAGAAAATGTTACTTCTATCTGTGAAAAAAAGGTTAGTCTCGTCAGTGAGTGATGTATGTCTAACTCTCGCCCATTATTCTTACAATATAAACTATGGTGATCTCCCATGCGAAGATGAACGATGTTATGCGTTTATAGAACACACATATATATAAAATATATCTGGCACTGTGATGTCCAACCGTTTTCTCAGCACATCATACACGAGAATATTTAATAGGTATAGTAATATCATTTTATGCCATCAGACCAGGCGGTGTGCCGTGTTTTTAAATTTTTGAAGCCTCTTGAGAATTAGAACGTATCTGGACTAATATAGACAGCATTGGTATGTAGGTACTGGATCTGTTGAACCCAGCTCAGAAGAGGAGTTTGGCGATTCGCTGGTCTAAGGAGAAGGGTTTCTACGTGGAGAATTTATTCGTGGTGGAGTGTGAATGCCTGGACGACCTTCTCGCTGTGCTGGATGAAGGTACACGACATGGCGCGCGCGTGTGTATCTCTCATAACCTCGCAAAGACTAATCTTCGCAGTCCAATGAGCGGCGACGAGGAAGGAGAGAGAAAGCAGAACGAGTCGATTAATTATTGCACATTTTGTGTCGCGCGCACGATAACTGCACGAGATTTGTGAATTTAAAAAAGATTTCCCGAATTTGGTGTGTGTCTGTAGCCGCACTAATTTTAGGTAAAGGTAACTAACGTACGCTACGGCATTCCGTTATGTCTGCTTCCAAATCAAGCCCAACAAAAATCGCCCATAAACAATGAACCATAACAGGGTGGTGCGTTAGTTAGGCATCACGCATAATCGCCCGTTATACTCCCTACTTTCTCAGCATACGGTATTTTCGGACGAAACATCTAACGTTAACGCGAGACGAAACGTTCCATGAAAGATATCGCATCACACATAATCGCACGTGCCCCCGTAAATATACTACCGACATTGTCAGCATACGTTGATTTTGGACGAAACATTTAACGTTAACGCAAGGCGAAACATTCGTTGCAAGCGATCGAACGTTAAAATTTTCGAAACGCAAACGAGTAAGTACACCTTGGTGTCACTCTCTGCATGCTCGCCTCCTGCCCCTGCTCCGTACAGGGCTGAGGAACAGACAGACGCGGTCGAACACGTACAACGAGTACTCGAGCCGCAGCCACAGCATGCTGACGCTACAGATCGACATCCACCTGCTGGACCGCGACGACGACAGCCTCTCGATCACGAAGCATGGCAAGCTGAGCTTTGTCGACCTCGCAGGTGATGCATGGATGGATGGATGGATGGATAGATGGATGGATAGATGGATGTATGGATGGATGGATGGATGGATAGATGGATG